GGGTCGTACTGCGTAACAAGTTTTTCTTCCTGTTTTATTTTTTTTTCTAACCATGCCGCCAGGCGGTACATTCGCTCAGCAAAAAGGTATGGCGGTAGGAGCAATAGACCGACGAAACACAAAAAGAGCAGGAATCAAGACCGAACAAAAGAAGCGAGCTGCTGTTTGGTTAGGGTAACGACACGTGAAAACGGAATGTCGAACACTAGAATCCACATTGTGTCTCATGTCATTGGCTATGTTTGCCATCACTGTCAGAAACTTGCGCACGTTAGTACATTAATATTTGCATACGCAGTCAGCACAATCACAATATGGCCAAGTTCAGCAGCTTAAGTAAACCCCCCGAAGGTCGAGAACGTCGGTTACCGTAGCGTGCATATGATTAGAATAAGGAAAGGAGAAGAGCTGGATGTGTGTGACTCATTTCGTGTCAGCTTAGGCACCCGGACGCGCCCCGCCGCGGTGGTCTAGTGACTAAGGTACTCGGCTGCTGACCCGCAGGTCGCGGGTTCGATTCCCGGCTGCGGCGGCTGCATTTCCGATGGAGGCGGAAATGTTGTAGGCCCGTGTGCTGAGATTTGGGTGCACGTTAAAGAACCCCAGGTGGTCGAAATTTCCGGAGCCCTCCACTACGGCGTCTCTCATAATCATATGGTGGTTTTGGAACGTTAAACCCCACATATCATCAATCAGGCACCCGGACGCTTCGGCTGTTTCGGAAAAGAATTGCCTAAATACCACAACTAACAGTCCAGAGAGAAGATAGTCAAAGCGGCCGGAGCGGTGCTACCGGGTATCACTCTTATAACCTGACAGATATTAAGATTGGAAAGCAAAATACTCAAACGTAACTTCGAGGGCCTCCAGCGCTGATACGAGAGTGCTCTGGTGCGGCCGCGGCCAAAGATTATACCAATAACGGCTCAACGAGCTGCAACGCACGGCGCTGGAGATAGCGCTTATCTGAACGAGCTTTCGGGGAGCGTCACGGTTTCAGGGCAATCTCGGCGGCCGGTCGTGGGTCCTGGCCCTGGCCGTGCACAACAAACACACACGGCCACACACACACTCGGAAGCGTGCCGGCATGACCATGCGCGCCGATTCTTTCATCGCCGCAGCGGGAAGAAAGAGGCGCGTCTTTACGCCGGCTACACAACTCTCTTTCAAACGCCTCCTCCCTCCTTCTCTTATTCTAGCAGCACTAAAACGGCCATACGCCTCCCATTACCCGCTTGCGTGGTGATACGGGTGCGTGAAGGAAAAATACCGAAGACGTATATACGCTTCACAACGCCGTAGCATGTACCAGATAAGTTCACCCACAGACAGGCACGCTCAGTATACCGCCATCTATCAACGTGAACGCTCAAGAATTTTTTTTATTTTATGTCGTTTTAAAAGCACGCCCACGCAATGAGGTAATCTCGTACGAAAATTATTTCACTCGGTTGCAAGACAGAAAAAGCGCGAGCCATTATGGCTCGCGAGAGCACATAGTTCCGTATAAATTGATGTCGGGAACGCGGATATAAAGCCTCTAATGTCGGTAGAGAATGAAGTGCGTTTTTACGCCACACGCGCTCTTCGGTACCCAGAGAACAAAGCAGCGGGCCTTGCGCGTATAAAACATACGGCCAATATCAGCTTTTTAGTTCATGTGACCATTCTTCAAATTAACAGAGTTACGTAGCGATCGTTAGTTCTACTGCAACAAGGATGCCTGGCGTTTACGCGACGTCCAAACCACACACGCGACGCATAGTGACATTTAAGTCGTGTACACTAAACAAAAACTGTTCTCTCTGTTGAGATGCTCAATTGACCGCTTGACACCCCCTCCCTTTTTTTTTCAATTGTAGGCCGCTATATAGCTGCCAAATTTTTCGGTTTGAGTAAAGCCGTCTTAGATGGAGCAACATCTTTGTGTATATGTAGTAATTTTACAGATACAATATGCGTCTGTCTTGCCAGACGCTCAAGTATAGACATGAGAATACTGCGGTGAAAGTAGCTTTCCGGCAGCATGATGCTAGGGCAACCATCAAATGCCGACGTATTAGATTTATAGCCTTGAGTCCTCACTATACTTACGAACGATCAACAAAAATACGAAGTATTTAAATAAATAAATAAATAAATAAATAAATAAATGGCTAAACGAGGGCAACACAAGACTAAAAGCACGTATTGGACAAGCACTGTCCATTTTGACAGGTACCAAACAAATGCGTGACGTTGTGGATTCAAAATCAATTCGTAGTCCTCCACAATACGGCGTCTTTCATAACAGCGCAATTCCGTGACATTGAGGTCCTCAAAGTAGCCTTTTTCTTGTAACGAGGGTGACATGAAGGCATAATGCAAAAACCATGTGTATACGGGCGGCGAAGCCGTAATCTCGACAAATACGCGTTATTACATTAAAGACGCATTGCATTCAGAAATAGGTTTCATCAATAACGCACCTTTACGAAAATTACACAACCAAGCTCCAAAGGTGTACGTGATGCTGCCGGCCCCTTAAACCAGCGTCCAACTTTACTCGACAATTCGTTGCAAAATCTCATCGCTGCCCACGACTCGCTTTTTACATGAGTGGCCGAAACAAACGGCACACGTCAGAGAATAATGAGAGAATCACCAAAACGGCTTATGGCGCACGACCAGTGAGGTAGCGAAGTTTTGCGGGGCGATCATTCATGCGTGCACGGCGCTCTGAAACAGCTTCAAAAAAAAAAAAAAGAAACAAAATTGTCCGTGAAAGCTCAGGGTCATCGGACATTGCGCAAGCTGAACACGCACATTGAAATTCCGAGCGCTTTGCGCTGCAGAGTTAACGTAAAGGTTATCCCGTCTGTCGGCAGTGGAAAACGAACTGCGCAATATCTCTGAGCAAAGTTACTAATTGCGATGAACCCACAGTGAGGCACGGCTCACATTCAATGGAGGTATCTGGCATCATCATTAAAAAAAAAACCTCTCTAGAGCCGCCTGCCCTCCCCCTTCCCTCTTTATCGCATACGGTCCTTGATGAGATCGCCCTGTTAATTTTATCAGCATATGCAAAGAGTCATTAGAGCGACGCTTGAAGTATATGACAAACTGAGCGAGATGACGATAATCGTTAGGGAAGGAAAAAAAATCAGGGGGCAAAGAATCAGTGAAGTGTTGAAGGCAGAAAGAACATCTCGTCTGTTGTACGCCATGTAACGTATACTGCATCTATTTCTAATCGACAGAGTGCGATTTAACGCGAATTCGGCATATCTGGGCGGACATTCTCTCAATTAGGGGATAAAAGAAAATATGCCGTGCAGTCGATTAAAGATAACACCTCCGTCTAAGAAATTTTCTCCCAAACTTTTCTTGTCACGGAAGCCTCGCACGCTGCACGTCGTGATGACCGCACTGTAATCAGGGTTCCGTTACAGGATTAATTGGAACCATCGGAACGTACAGGCCGACCATGACAGCCGAGGCATAAGAAGTCGCAAAACACAAACAGAACAGGCAAGGACATAATTTCCGGAGCTCTCCTCTACGGCGTCTCTCGAGATCATATCGTGGTTCTGAGATGCTGAACCCCAGATATGATTATTATTAGGCACGACCATGCATCTCTTGAAAGTTTTGTGGAATTTTCGGCCCGCGGTATTGAGTATGAACGAAATAACAATGATCTCATCTATATGCAGATTCTCGCGGCTAACAAGTTTGATATGAGTGCAGTTATGACTTCATAATGCGGATATCATTACAAGCTATTCACTCCGCACACTCACGTTACTGCAGTTACTCGAAGCTCTTGAAGCAGAAAATGCCGCCTTCTCAAAATGGATATTTTTGTTGATGTTATCCTGCCTGTTTTATGCACGGCCTTAAAACGGTGGTATGAAAAACAGATGTCCCTGCAGCGCACACAGATACACGGCTTTCCAGTATGTTTAGTAGGTGGCAGATTCTCCTTAAGCGCTCGCTATTGTGATCCCACGACAGGCAGGTTCTGAATAGTTTCTGAAAAGCAACAATTTAGTTCTACCCTCGATGTCACGCCTGAGTTTGGCTCGAACAAGCTCACAAGCCTCCGCTTTATCCATAATAGAAAGCGCAACGGACACTTTATAAAGATAGATAACAGTTATAGCACAAAATCTGAAAAAAGAAAAAAAAAACCGCATAACCTCTGAATATTTTTAACGCTAAGAGAGTGCTCTTATACTTGTACTTCCTAGGCAAAGAAAGAAGAGGTGCGTTGATTATTGATGTGTTTTATGTGGGTGAAGAAAACGCGGTGTTGACATTGTTTTGTTATTTAAGGGTGGGAGGTGAAATCGCGTATGGAGGGAGCACAGGCTGCTTTAACGCATTAGGTAAACTTATCATGCATGTACATTTTTTTGTTGTTGTTGCCGCGCATCGCAGGTATACTTAGAGAATTTCGTGAAGTTAACCGCGCAAATAGTCGCGGACAATCTCTCCAGCGCTTACCGATAAGTTCTTAGGCCGAAGTCAAGCAGCAATCACAAGATACCATATTGTGTTACTACATTCACGCATTTAGCGGCACATCGTCCGAAATACAAGATCTCTCAGTCATGCCGACAGCAACATGCGCAGCGGCAAGGAAAAGATGACACACTCCGAGTGAGAAGCGGTACGATAATGGCATTCATAGGAAAGCGTGTAGCACCAGAGTGGCATTGGTGGTGGGCGCGAAGTGAGCCCCGGGTCGCACACCATGCGGCAGTCGCTCCCAAGGCAGGTGCGCCTGGGAACAGACTGGTCGCGCGGCGTGCGATAAGCGCGGGTCGCAGCTGGCAGCAACGAGCGTGACGGTCAGACCGCGCGATTGACCACCGACGGTGGCCACAGAAGTCGCGCATACGGCACGAAAGAGGTGCGTGCAAAGGCCTGACGGCACGTACTTGCGCAGGCAAACGCGCCTCGTGACAGAGCAGAGCGCGCCGAGGAACTGAACTCGAAAGTGTCGGCTCACCGTGAAGGCGCCGTACCGGCCGTTCAGTGGAGAAGGTCTGCCTGTAACTTCGCAGGCGGTCCGAGAGAACAAAAATTGCAGAACAAAATGCTTGCGCGCCGGTTTCGCCAGGTCGCGACAGGTGATGCGCGTGCCGCCGGTGACAGCAGCAGGGGCGCGCGTTCGAAACGCCGGCTACACGCGGCGGCGGCGACAGCGACGTGCCTCCACAGCGATGCGTGCTCTCGATTTGCTCCGCGCCTCCGCGCTTCCTCCGAGCCTCCTCCTCGCGTGGTCACGTGGTTACGGCGCGTGCGCGTCACAGAGACAGGGAAGTTTAGTCCCCGCGCTCTAGGGAGAAAAAGGACGCACGCGAAAGAGAAGGAGGATGCTCGACCAGGTGGTACAGTTGCAGCACTGTAAGGAGAGTACCTCGTCCCACTGGCCACTTGAACAGGGAGTGCGTAGAAACCTGTCTGTTTCCGAGTCATAATTTGCATGCCGCAGCACGGGAAGTGCGTCATTCACCTGCGCATGCCTCCACTAGCAGCTAGTGCTTCTTCTTGCGATTTCTGCTGCTTTTCAGACGCGGCTAAAATTGAAGCTCCGCGATTTTACGCGTCAAAACAAATGGTATGATTAAAGGCACGCAGCCGTTGTACGCGGTTTCGGATTGATCGTGCACCTAAACTATTGTTCATTGTCAAGTGAACTTCATTTTTCATTACATTTCTAACTGTTCCGAGCACTGTCTTCTCATTTGATTTATATTTGTAACACAAGTTTACTAACACTTTATTATTGCTAACATCTTTGGCTGGTATGCATCGGTTTTTCATTCTCTTTGTCATTTCCTTTCTGACGACCCCTTACCCAATGCTCCTCATAGGCTGGTAAGGTTCCTCAAATAAATAAATAAATAAATAAATAAATAAATAAATAAATAAATAAATAAATAAATAAATAAATAAATAAATAAATAAATAAATAAATGGGCACACGAGTGCATTCGCACTTCGCACGCAGCCTAATACAGCTATCATAGCTGGTCATAGAACCAGCGCACTGGTGCTCACAGCGCAACACAATAGACGCTAGGCTACTGCGGATCTGCTGCTGCGGCTATAACTGGCTGCCTACAGTACGCCAGGTTCAATGAATTATTTCAGAAACAAAACCATTAAGCTGCCCAAATCATGTGTGCAATCAGCGCAATAGGTCTCCCCTGAAGCCAGCTTGATGATTACCTTGAACGAGTTTATAATGCTTAATTATGTAGTACAGTATACGTCTGGACACTTAGGTGCGGCCCAGTATACCTGAGAGCACAGACTGAGTTTCGAGTTATTACGGGCACCTAGCCGAGTTAAAGGCGCGTAGCCAGTGTTTTTGTTTTTTTTGAAGGGTTGAGTGGTAGGGGAGGTAACTACTTAATGCATATTCATGGGAGAGTCTGTATTACGTTTATATATATATATATATATATATATATATATATATATATATATATATATATATATATATATATATATATATATATATATATATATGGGTTGTTCATCTTAGTCCATGCTATACGCATCAGTGTGAATATAGATTCTGAATAGACACGCCTCATGTCATTTGTACGTAACGTCTTTGTGGTGGAGGTGCTGCGTATCGCGACCATAGCGGATAACTGTGTGTTCCTTCCGCTGCTTAACTTTGGTTTCACCCCTCAAGTGTTGCCCTGCCAGATGTCTCTAGCCAAGCTAACTGCTACAACAGACGACGATGTGAGTGTTGTCGCTGTATCTGCTCCTGGTCGAAGCGCAGTCTCACGGTTATCCAGCTCAGAGGATGTTATTTTTCGAAACATGATTGCATCGGAGCTTGCGCCTCACCAGGCCGACGCTCTCTGCCAGGTTTTGACCTCATACAGTGACATTTTCGACACCGACGATCGTCCCTTGGGCCAGACTAAAATTGTCACACACCGAATCAACACTGGTGACTCGGTGCCCATTCACCATCGGTCGTACCACGTGTCAGCGTTCGAGCGAGAAGTGACTGAAAAAGAAGTGGCCAAAATGCGTATGAAAAACGTAATCGAACCATAATCGAGCCCTTGGGCATCTCCCGAGGTGTTAGTAAAGAAGAAAGACGGCTCACGGCGTTTCTGCGTTGATTATCGCACCTCAACAAAATTACCAAAAAAGACGTGTACCCTCTACCACGCATTGACTATGCCCTCAACTGCCTCCATTGAGGATGCCCTCAACTGCCTCAACTGCCTCCACCTTCTTTTCATCTCTCGACCTCCGATCTGGCTACTGGCAAATTGCTGTAGATGACATGGACCGAGAAAGGTCCACCTTCGTTACCCCTGACGGTCTTGACCAATTCAAGGTGATGCTTTTCGGTCTCTGCAACGCCCCAGCGACCTTTGAAAGAATGATGGACACGCTCCTAGAAGGATTTAAATGGTCGACATGTTTGTGTTACCTGGACGACGCGATCATTTTCTCACCTACCTTCGCAACCAACCTTGAACGCCTTTCGACCATTCTATCTATATTACGACGGGCCGGCCTGCAGCTCAATTCCTCAAAGTGCCACTTCGGTCTTCGTCAGATTACCGTGTTGGGTCACCTTGTTGACGCTGCCGGCGTACGATCAGACCCGGCGAAAGTACGCGCTGTAGCAAACTTCCAAGTCCCACGCTCCGCCCATGATGTTCGCAGTTTCGTGCGACTCCTGCTCCTACTTTCGCCGGTTCGTGAAAAACTTTGCGGCACTCGCACGGCCACTCACTAACCTTCTGAAACAAGACGTCGCATTCTGTTGGGGCCCTCTTCAAGCTGACGCCTTCTCTCAGCTAATCACCACTCTAAGGACACCTCCTATTCTTGCACATTTCGACCCTGATGTTCCTACAGAAGTGCGAACAGACGCGAGTGGTCACGGAATTGGTGCAGTTTTGGTGCAAATTCAGCGGGGCAACGACCGTGTAATCGCGTATGCAAGCCGTCTGCTTTCAAAGTCTGAACGCAATTACTCTATAATAGAACGGGAATGTCTCACCCTTGCCTGGGCGGTTACGAAATTCCGTTCTTATTTGTATGGTCGCCCTTTCCGTGTCATCACAGATCATCACGCGCTGTGTTGGCATTCTTCTCTGAAGGACCCCACTGGACGACTTGGCCGTTGGGAATTACGCTTACAGGAGTATTCCTACTCGGTTGCTTATAAGTCTGGACGTCTCCTTCTGGACGCCGATTGCTTATCACGCTACCCTATTGATCACCCCGACGAACCAGACATCAAGCCCAGCCTCAGCGTCATGTCAATGTCCCAGTTTCTTCAGATTGGCGATGAACAGCGTCGTGATGCTTCCCTGCGACAAATTATTGACCGTCTCGAATCTGCTCCGAACGACGCGTCGCTTAGCATGCACGTCCTCCTGATTGGCACGCTGTACCGTCGTATCCTCCAGCCAGATGGCCCTCAGCTCCTTCTTGTCGTGCCGAAACATTTGCGTTCAACCGTGCTGCACGGACTTCACAATGAACCAACTGCTGGTCATCTGGGTGTATCTCGGAGGTACGACCGTGTGCGTCGCCGCTTCTTTTGGCGCGGTCTTGCCAGGTCCGTTCGCCGTTACGTGTCTACCTGCAATAAATGCCAACATAAGAAGTGACCTACTGCACCCCCGGCTAAACTTCTTCAACAGATCTTCATCCTAAGCAAACCTTTCTTATGTGTTGGTATAGATCTTTTCGGTCCTTTTCCTGAGTCGAAATAGGGCAACAAGTGGGTCGCCGTTGCTGTAGACTACGCGACTAGGTATGCCATCACTCGAGCGCTCCCCACCAGCACCGCTACTGACGTTGCGGAATTTTCGCTCCATGATGTCATCCTACACCATGGCGCTCCTCGCCAATCACTCACGGATCGCGGCCGCGCATTTTTGTCCCGTGTAATCGACGATATTCTGCGCTCTTCCTCGACGCAGCACAAGTTGACCACTTCCTACCATCCTCAAACAAATGGCCTTACCGAACGCCTAAATCGCACCCTCACGGACATGTTCGCGATGTATGTGTCCTCCGACCACCATGACTGGGACCTCGCGCTACCTCACGTGACCTTCGCTAAGAATTTTTCGCGCCCCGACAACACTGGTTATTCACCTTTTTATTTGCTCTATGGCCGTGATCCGACGTTACCACTCGACACCCTACTTCCAACCACTATAACGCCGTCAACCGAATATGCACGCGACGCTATTGCTCGTGCCGACAACACATGTCAGATCGCCCACTCTAGACTTTCGGCTTCGCAAGCCACCCAGAAAGCCATCTACGACAGCCGGCATGCTGACGTCCGCTTCTCACCCGGTTCTCTCGTTCTCCCGTGGTGCCCAGATTGTCGAGTTGGCTTATCAGAGAAGTTGTTGTCTCTCTACATGGGTCCTTACCGTATCATCCGCCGGGTAACCGACGTCACTTATGAGATCATTCCTGCATCTGAGACCACAAGCCTGCCTGCAACCACACCCTGTAATGTTGTGCAAGTCAGCAGGCTAAAACCTTACCATCTGCCTACTGGAGACCGTAATTAATATGCACCGAGACAGCGCTTTTACCGCAGGGGGTAATGCTACGTAGCTGACATATCAGCGGTCAGAAGACGACAACGAGGAAGTGGTCTGTCGGTTGTGCAAGTTGTCCTCCATCTTAGTCGATGCTATACGCATCAGTGTGAATATAAATTCTGAATAGACACGCCTTGTGTCAATTTTACGTAACAATATATATATATATATATATATATATATATATATATATATATATATATATATATATATATATATATATATATATATATATATATATACCACTCTACCGCTTTTTGATTCACGGCCAAGTACGCGGTTGCAGCCACAGCAAAGAGTTTGCCGCATTCTGTGGGCCACGGTTATTAGGGCAGATGAGCCGCGGTTTTCCCAGCAACAAAAATCTGGTCAAGGCGACTGCACAGTAAACGCGAAGCGCTGAAGGAAGATTCATGTGAAAGTAAGAAAATGGGGGGGGGGGGGCGCTCTTTTCTAATTGGTCATGCTTGAATGAGGATCTGAGAGAAAGGTTCCGGCAACGAGAACCAAGAGCATACACCATTCACAAGACGACGGGGTGTCTCCGTCCAAAGGAAGCCCCAGCAATGAGGCGGGACGTTCCTTCGCCGTTC